TTAGTAATAATTAGCACTAGAATATGAAAAAATGGAAATAATTTATATACAAAATATTTTTCCAATAGAGGAAAACTGAGTACAGATTAGTTTTATAGTGTCACATTTCCCACATTTTACAGAAAAAGATAACTGATAAGTAACCAGACTTTTTGCAAACATGAAGTAGAAAAATCATTCATACAATAAACATGTTATAAGATTCTGTGAGGCATCATGTACTAATCTGTAACAGACTCTGAGGAGAGAGAAAGGCATCCTAACCTGGTCCCAGGGTCATTTCTATAGAAAGCAGAGGCATTCAGGCTTAAAACATAAAACTTTGGAGGGGAATAGGCTAAACCAAACCGCACAGTGCTGATGGGGCTTTCTTGCCTCTGTGCTCAGTAGTGACCTCTTATTAGTGATTAGGGCATCATTTGTGGTGCCAAGAGCTGAACTAGGGTTGGCTGCTTTATTTCCTGTCCTAGCTTTGCAGCCGTCAAAAGTTTCAGTTAAAAAATATGCACCTAACAAGTCTATAGCCTCTATTCCATAAAAAGACTATGTGAACAAGGTACTATGTGCACTTTGAGAAAATCCTTTCTGGAGGCACCACCTCTTTGATTTTCTACACTGATATTAATTGGACTGTTAATTGTTGTCAAATATCCAGCTCAATCAAACAACAGAATTTCCATTTCCATATATATATGGGTATAAAAAGGAATTTAACTCTTCCTAATTCAGTGAACCAAATAAAAAGAACTCAACCCCCTCCATAATTACTCATCTGTAACAGTAGAAACATAAGCTACTCTGTGGTATATTGCTCTTCCTTTTTTTAAAAATTTTGACTTCTTGGGCCAGAAATGGCACTGCAGACCCAACATTTTCTAAATAATCTAAAATGTTTTCTTTTTTACCCCTTTAAGCCTACTATATGAACTAAAATGAAAACTCTAATAATAATATTTATTAGCTTTTTTATTATGAAAATGTCAAACATACAAAAGCAGAGAGGAACATACATAATAAACCATGGTTTAACTATAACCCAGTTTCAACAATTATGAAAAGGCCAATCTTATTTTACCAACAATTCTTATACATTTAAAATTCACAGGCATTTTACTTTAAAGAAAATTTCAGACATCTTTTAACCATAAATATTAGAGAATATATTTCTAAAAGATAAGGACTATTGTTCCTATAAAATTACAATAACCAGTAGTCCAACTAAAACCCAATAACAGGTCAATTTTCAAATTATCCTGATTGTCAGTAACTATTTCAGAGTTTGTTCAAATCACGATCCAAAAAAGATCTATACATTACAATTTATCATGTCTCTTGTATTTTTCAATCTATAAGTTCATCCTCCTCTTTCTTCTGAAGAAATTTAGTCACTTCTCCTTTGATTATTTCTTAGTTTAGGTTCTACTGATATCATTTATGTGGTGCAGAGTAATGTTTTTCTCTTCCTTGCATTTCCTTCATATGAATACTTACATCTAGAGGCACAGTCAGATTGGATTCAGATGTTGGCAAGGTATACTATACTACCATTAGGAGGCACATAATGTGTGGGATGTCACAGGCATATCTGCGAAGCTTAAATTTGTAATCTCACAGCCACCTTGAAACACTTGTGTGTAACATTTGCTATAAAAACCACATATGATAGATAGTATTTACTGGATTAACACCAGATTAGAAAGTTAATCCTTTACCACTCATAGTCACTAGAGAATATTAATAATTTAAAACACCAGTTATGTTCTACTATATTTCAAATTACCTCTTATATGATGGATGTGTAAAAAGACTAAGAAATAAAGATACTTGCACTCAAGGTTGTTTAACCTGGTAGAAAATAGACTTGTATAGAAATGCAGCAAATGCTACCAGATCAGAAGTCTGTACAGATAAAATGCTAGTGCAACAACCTAGGTAATACTCACTGTAATGAATAAGAAAGAGATATACAAAAGCATAGAATGAACTGTCCTTTTGAGTGGGAAAGCATGTGTGCTTCACAAGTCTGTTCATCATCAGATTCACATACTTGAATCTTTTAAAGTAAATCTGAACCTCTATTCCATTCACCTAAAAACTCTCACTAACAGCTTTACTGGTAGGTCAATTCCTTTAATCAGTACATATTTATTGGGATTCTATCACAATCAACAACTACTTGTATAAGAAAATCCTTCAGTGAATTATCCAGTACAGCTCCGATATGAGGCCAGAATAGAGCCTAAAGTAAAACAGACTGAGCTAAATTATCAAGATAAGAAATCAAGAATACGCTCGTAGCAGATATTTCTAATCTGTGTATAACTGACAAACATCTCCAAATTTTAGCCACTGTTCTAGACTCAGAAAATATAGGAATATTCAGTATGGTTCCTAGATCTTAAAGGATTCAGAGGCTAAATAAGCAAAACAAAATTTAGAAAGATAGTTTAATACTCAATGATGGTGAGAATATTTATATTTTTGTTGGTAGCTTCTTCAAAAGGACCCCTAAAAAGAACATCCTGATAAGCTATTAGAACCCTGAGCTCTGAAACGGTATTTTCACCATCTTTTTACCCCAGCTAACAACTATTGATAGGGAAGTTAAAGTAGCAACTCCAAATTCATATCCCTTTTATTATGTGTTCAAAAGGGTCCTCTAATGTTGCCATTCCTTTACAAGATGCTTGTCCCTGTCTCTTCTTTCTTTCTCCTAGATAAAAAATGTTGAAAATTTTAGTCCTCTATGAAACCAAAGCAATTAACAATTTTTATAGCTAATCCGCCATTCCTTTCATAACTTCTTTCACCAGTGCTCTAATCAACAGAAGTTTCTTAGGAAACATAATTCATCGAACATTCAGGAAAACTGTGTATTGAGTATACTGATAATACCTTTATTCCAACAGGTTGTCTTAAATATATTTTTCAAGTATAGGCACTTATCCAGTTGGTTAAAAATACATTTTTAAAAGTGCTTTAAAACACTGCTAAATTGATCCCTCATATATGAAATATTTTTTGGCTAGTGCTATTCGAAGTATGAGCTAAAAGATTCATTTCTACATTTTCACTATGATCACCATACAAATAATCCATGAATACTATATAATAACTCTGTAGGGAAAAATTCCTAACTGCATTGCATCACCTTCTTGGAGAATGAAGACCATAAACCCATTTATTTTCTTTTAAAAATCTGTGTGAACTGTGTTAACCAGATTTTTTTTGTTTTTAGGGTTCTTTCATTTATTTTTTCCAGATTGAAGTCCACAAGAATATAAAGCAGCAATTTCCCATGTGTGATTTTGAAAGCTTAAAGTCTGATACTTAAAAAAACATTATTGCAATTTATATGAAAGTCTTTGGAGATTTGATTAATTTCAGTACTTTCACATCAGTCAAATACATAGCTGAAAATTCAAAACATAATATTTTGCATTATTAAGAATGTCATGTTAAGTTAAGTCTCCCAGGCATTTGTGGCAGCATTTTAGATGGCCATGGTTAATGTATGACATAGTAATAAATTGGGTTTACTTTGAAAATTCTCAGGTTACTGAGAGTATATATTCACTGATTTGGATTGTGGTAAGAGAAGAGGTCAACTTAAAGGATTTAGAAAATCTGTTGAAAAATAAGAATTTATTTTTGAATAAAGAATTAAGTTTAGCAAATCTACCTAATAAAATTATAGAATTTGTTTTGAAAAATGAATCATTTTCTATTGTACCCATTCCTCAGACACTAATGATGGCAAACTACAGTATGTACTTTAGACAGATTTATATAAAGCCAAGATCTTCTTTTTAAAATAGTGACATCAAAGTTTAAAAATGATCATATGCAAATATCCAGTAATTGTTACTTTAAAAGGCTAGTTTGTAGTGTAACAAAATATTTAAATCACAACAATTATCTAATTATTTCTACTGACATACAGAATATTAAGATATTATGTGTTATACATAGAAAGTTATCACTAACCCAAACTCTTCACAACCACTATCCTAAACCTTCCTGAGAAGATAAGGAGTTTTAGCGAAATCTAGACATTCAAATTTTATACGTTCAGGGTACATAAGAGTGACCCCTCCAAAATTATTTGAGTGACACAAAACACCTATCAACAATAATTAAGAAATATGACATTTTATAGAATATCCTAAAATAGAATTATTTCCTCCTCACAAAGTAGGCTTTACCTCTGTCTACTTTTTGACATGCTGGGTAGAATAAAAGCTGTTCCAAAAGAAGATTTGAAGCATCTATCAAGCAAGGCAAAGTATAATTTAACTGGCACCCAGAAGAATTCATGGTGTAAGAAAAACGCTTTTATTTTAAAACTTTAAGACAGATTAGTCCAGTTTCCTAAAAGGTTGAGAAGCTGAATATTCAGAAGGTAACTCACTGGACTGGGGTACATCTACCATGTAAAGATTACATTGGTTTGGCAAACAGACACGTTTAAATAGAATAGCACAATTTTCAAAAAGAGAAATAACATTCTTTAAAACCTAACTTGTAGAGAACTGTCGGCCTCTGAAATAGGCAGTACTCCATGAATACAGTTTTCATGGCAAAAATGTACAGATCAGAAAATGTTTGGCTAAAATTGAGTTATTATCAAATGATATTTGACCATACTATATTTAGGTTATATGGGAAATCGCCATTTCAAATAAACAGAATGAACCTTTGTGAAACAGTGTTTGGAAATGAAAATGATCTGCATATGAATAAAGACAGTTTTACAGAAATAAAAAATAATAATAAACTGTGGAAAGAGCACAAGATTGTAAATTTTCCTAAAGTTGTACCTTTTTTCATTCCAGACTGATCAATTTACAATTGCCATCAAAAAAAGGCGAAGGGGGGCTTGCCTACAAGTGGTTATTCTATGAAATTAAGAGAAAACTTAATGACAGTCACAACTATGCTGATCGAATTCTGAATAGACATTCAGTTCACAAGAAAGCCCCCCCACCAAGATCCCCACACTCACCCCAGCTCCAGACACAGCCAGCCACATATGATGGGCTAGGTGAGCAGTTCAGGCACCTTTCAAAGAACCCAAAGTGGCTTTGGCTTACCTAAGAAACACGTGACAGTACCACAAAAAGTGATTTCCAAGCATCTGAACAGCGTTCAAATTGTCTGAGAATGGTGCTCAGCGACTGAGACAGTTTGCAAGCATGATTCAGAGAGCTGCCAAGGAAACAAAAGAAGCCTCCCTCCGATCCCTTGAGACCGCACATGGCATTAGAGGTGCACCAGACATGATTTCTTTTAAGGTAGGCGGAAAAGCAGTAGTCTGCGCAGGAGAGGTACATACTAGGCAGAGCTGTCTGGCAGTGCAGGGGCCACGGAGTTTCCATTGGTCGGGGAACCGCCCAGCTTCAGTTTCTCCAGATATTCGGCATGCACGGGCTTGTGGCATTGGAGAACCTTGATGGCATCTTCGATTTTGAACCACTCGCGTTTCCTGCCGATGCTCAGCGAATCTTCCCAGTCATCCAGAATCTCGGTGACGGTCAGGACATACACATAGGTTCGGTGCTTGCGATCTTGGTTCTGCTCGAAAACGCCGAGGAGCCGGCCTAACTTCCCTTTGACTCCCGCCTCTTCGTACACCTCCCGGACCGCCGCGCCGCCCGGCTCCTCCTCGGGCTCCATGCCCCCTCCCGGCACGATCCAGCGGTCGGGGTAGCGGCTGCTACTCACTAACAGCACCTCGTCCTCGCGCTCGTTCCGGAAGCACAGGCACGCCGCTCGCTGCTTGAAGCCCTCCGGGTCGTAGGTGCGCGTCTGGTTCGGTTTACACTTCATCCTCTCGGCCGCGGCTGGTCGGGGTGCTGGGGTGGGGGGGGGGGGGGGTAGAGAAACACACACACGCACTAACACAATTGCGCGCGCGTACACACACAATTGCGCGCGCGCGCGCACACACACACACACACACACACACACAAAACACAGGGGCGGGGAGTGAGAGGCGCCTCAGCTGCGAGCCCCCGAGCATGGGCGAAGACGTGTCGGGGACCGGCGGGGATCGGCGAGGACGTCAGTCCCCAGCGCGGCCCCGAAACGCGATAGGCGCTGCCACCACCCAAGAGCCCCAAACTCCCACCAAGGCCCCTCTCACCTGGTGCTTGCCTCCCACTTTCTACCTGCGTCAGTGATCGGGTGGAGTGAAGCACTTAACTGCACTCGTTCCCAGACCTGTTAATGTGCGAGTTCCTGTATGGATGCAGAGGGCCGAGGGGCGGGACGGGTCGAGGGGGGGGTCTTCCCGCTCCCTGCAGCAAGCAGCTCTTGAGACCCACTGCGCAGGCGCCGAATTGCGGGCTCAGAGCGTCCTGCGCCACACAGTTAATTCTTCGCTTCGTCACAGGTCCCGGCTGATTCCACGTGTGCCTTTCTGTGAAGCTTGGCTGTGGCGCACCCATACTGTTGTCGTCCCCCGTTCCGCTGGTAGCGCCTTGTCTATGCGCGTTATCATTTAACGCACATTGCTAAGGTCAGGGACACTGTCTCAATACAGACTATAATGATTTGTTCCAATTTATTTATAGGAAGGTCTGAGTTTCGTTTCCAACAGCATCTGTGTGATTGTGCTGCAGTGCCTAGTCTCTGCTGAGTCACATCACATCATGCAGTTTTATTTCCTCAACAGGTTCTTCCTCTTACAGGCATCTTGGACAATCCATAAACAAACACTTTACCTGGACCGTTGTTGACACCTAATCAGCATCCCTGTTTCCTCACACCCTGCTTAAGAAACTCGACCTGCCTGTATCAGCCCCCCACACAAGGGGGGGACTTGTGTCCGTGGCCTGACAACTGCATATCCGAAGAATTGCGCCCTTCACACATTCCACCCTATTGCTCTCACTGCCAAGCACAGGGGGTTTAGGAAGATGGAAAACATGTAGCACTAGTCCATTGAGCTCCCCCTACAGCTCCGCTGTCTTTTTTTTAAACATTACCCTGTTCTCCCACTATTCTATACAGAAACCCACCCATCTTAAGACTCTTTTTCTCTGTGGCCAACACTGCTGGCATCAGGCAAGCAGAACCTGAAAACTCACTTTTCTAATACAATGAATCTTTTGCAAAGTAGAACTGGAATCATAAATGAGAGTGGACTATGGTTATGAAACACATAGTATAATTAATATTTATTTAAAAGTTTTATTGGCTTGGGTTCACGATCACGATCATGATCATCCTGTTGTTCGTCGATTTCCTCGAGCAGGCACCAGTAACGTCTCCTTCCTAGCCCTGAGATTTTAAAAGAGTCATTTCAATGCTCTTTCAGGATTAGGAGAATGAGACCCATCATTGTTACTGGTATTTGGCATATTGAGTACAACACGGGAAGTTTGCCAGACTCTGCCGTGCAGGCAGGAAACTTTTGGTAGCCTGACAGGTTCTCCAAAGGAAAAATAAGAAAATAAGATGTCGCGCGGCCGCGAATGCACTTCTGGGAGCTGGATTTTATAGTCTTTGCGTCTTGGCCATTGATGGGACCACCTTGGCACTGGTGGCAGCTGGTGGGTGTGACGCCTACCTACTGGAAGATGGGGGTTCTGGGTGGAGAAGGCTCAGTCCTAATCCGAGTAGGCTTGGAGACCTCAGCCCCGGGACCCGCATGCCTAGGTTCCTCTGCCAGTTCTTTCATGCATGAGGCCCAGCTTGGGTTACATTGAATAAACATTTATTGTCTTCATATATCCATATATCCAGTTACTGCACCATCAAAGTGCCCCAAACCCGCAGACTCTGTCCTTCTATAATTTCTAAATGCAGTTCTTCATACCTTCCTACCCACACTGCTTGGTTATCTCTATTTAGTAATCAAATGTCAAGGGTTTGGAATAATTCAATATTGCCTAGTCCCTTATTTTCTTTTTCTATGTACCAGAGTGAAAAATTTAAATAACAATTCAGTTCATATTGCAGGGGCAGCTCCACTCTATTTATACCCCCAAATATTTTCCCCCCAAATGATCTTATTCCTAGAGTCTACAGACAGCAGCAATATCTACAACAGTAATATAACAAAAATGTGTGGATTGTATGTTAGAAACTCATAAGATGAGACATAAAAGGAATAACTTCAGTAGAGAATCTATTAATACCACACACATATGACATATGGATGACTAAGATGCATTTGGAGCAATGCAAACCCAATGAGTGAAAACAAACCAGAAAAATAGATGCAAGAACTCTCTGTTAACCAGTGTGTCTTTGCTGAACTAGAGAAAGTACATTACAACCAGACCTGGGAAAATATGACTCACATCTCCAATACTGTTAAGAACGCACTGCCCAGTGTGGTGAGGTTGTAAGGAAAATAATAGAAGTATCTGATTTTGGTAAAACAAACTTGTCATTATTTGAATATGAGATGTGAGGTAACTTACAAGAAATTATGTTAAATGTATTCATTTAAATGATAGAGAAAAATCACTGTCACTTTCACTGTCCTCCCATTGTTCATCGATTTGCTCGAGCGGGCCCAGTAACATCTCCATTGTGAGACTTGTTGTTATTGTATTTGGCATATCGAATACGTGACGGGTAGCTTGCCAGGCTTTGCCATTTGGGCGAGATACTCTCCGTAGCTTGCCGGGCTCTCCGAGAGGGACGAAGGAAAAATAGCAATAGCTTTTAGGTACACAAGCAATAATGATGCAAACAGTATAATATGGGGGATGATGACATTCAGAAGAACCCCAGTATGGCATTGACAAAAAGTACCAAGGAATGCTTATATATATGGTTTGCAGTTTTTGCTAGAAAATGATAATATCATATTTGATTTTGGTAGAGGATTTGGATAAATGAAGAAGTACTCTGACAAAACTAGGACTAAAGGCTTGTATCTTGGGGCCGGGGGCCAAACAAGATTCCTGCCACATGAACCGTCTATTTCACAGTGTCCAAGTACAATGTCCTTGTCACATCAGGTAATATTCTAGTATGTTCTTTCAGCTTTACATAGGAATGTGTCTATGGGTATGCCAGAAAAATATTACAGTGGGTAAGGTGCTTGCCTTGCATACGGTCTGATGTCGGTGGGCCCCACGGGTGACTTATGTGAAGCAGGGAGGAGAAAGACAGGTCCCTTTCTCCCCAACAATCTCTGCCACCCGGGACCCAGGGTTACTGGGTTCTTGTCTCGCCTCACAGAAAGGAATTTCAGGAGTAGGCAAGCAGTGAAACAAATAGATTTTATTTGGAGGATTTTTAAGGTGTGGAGGGAGAGAGAGAGAGAAAGAGAGAGAGAGAGAGAGAGTAAGAGAGAGTAACGTACTCAAGAGAGAACACAGGCTTCTCCAAGGATGGAGAGAGCCCCTACACACATCCTAGCATTAGACATGAAAGCATGAAAGTACACATCTCAAGAGGGGAGATGTGGGCAACACATGTGCTCAGCCCACAAGTGCTCGGCCACATGGGCGCAAGCAGCACATGAGCTCAGGCAGCACATGCACGCCCTTCCTTTGTTCAAAGTGGCCTTTATAGGGTTTCTCCAGCCTGCCCCCACGTGAAGCTTCTTCCCAGGTAAAAGTCCTTTGCTAAGGAGGTTACCAGGGAGGTCCAAAAAGAGGAACTTCGTGGGGAGGAGGCCTATATCCTCAGGGTCTGTGGAAGGTCTTATCAGGTCTTTGTTTTCTGTATCCAGAAGGTGGGTCATTCCTAGAATTCTTCTTCCATGAAACTTTGTTTCATTGCAAAGGGCCTTTCCCTATCTACCTGCCTACATCAGGTCGACGTGAGTTGAATCTCTGGCATCGCACATGGTCTCCGAGCTCACCAGGAGTAATTCCTGAGTGAATAGTTAGTAATGTCCCCTCAGCACCAATGGGAGTAGCCCCCAAATACAAACAAAACAGATTGCACCTATTCAATGTGACTGTGGGGTGGGGAGGCATATTTATTGGAAGAATATGATATCGAATTATAATATACAGTTTTACATAAAATTATAGATAGAATTCCATTATACCGTATATACTATATAGTTTATATTTAGTACATATATAGTATCACGATCACGACCATCCTGTTATTCGTCGATTGCCTCAAGCAGGCCCCAGTAACGCCTCCTTCGTCCTATCCCTGAGATTTTTTAAAAAGTGCCATATTCAAGGCTCTTTCAGAGTTAGAATAAGACCCATAATTTTTACTGGTATTTGGCATATTGGGTACACCACGGGGAGTTTGACAGACTCTGCCATGTGGGCAGGTTACATTCGGTAGCCTGCCAGTTTGTTCATATATAGTATATCGTCTACATTAGTCTCATATATAGTACTTATATATTATATAATCTTTCAAATCTCATAATAAGGAAGGAGGTGCAAATTGGATTCCCACTAGCAATAGCATGATAACATTTCCATATAGAGAAACCAACCACTTACTACGTTTAATACACTAAGGACAATTTCAAATCAGATCTTTCTCCCAGAATTTCAAATAGTAATTTCAGTATTCATCTATTAGAATGATAGTGCAAAAGGAATTATATTACTTTTCGAAAGGAGAAGAAAATCATTTGTGAGAAACTAGTGCCCCGTGGTTTACATTTTCTCCATGGTCAATGATGAACTAGATGATCCTTGAACCACTATAGTTATAAACTGGCACAGCAACTAAGACTTGCATCCGCGTGCCTTCTTGTATCTCCCATCACAAAGTCCCTGATCTTAGAGGTGAAATTTGCTTTTTACAGTGGGAAAACAGCAAGTGTGAAGTGTCCAGGACACTGAAAAGGCTTTCTCTCTGGTACTCTACTTAATGTTAATGAAATACAATGGCAGCAATGTGAAACCTG